AAAAAGAACAACTGCACTCCCACAATTGATACGAATTATACTTGGTTTCATTATTCGTTATAATAACCTCGTTAATTTAATATTAAATAATAATTCTCTGAATGGAGCCATTCTTTTGACACCTATAAAGATATTTTGCTGATAATACTTTGAATCTTATTTACTTTTACTTGTGTACTTTACTTAAGCAGGCCTACAGTTTGAGGAACTGGTGCGTTAAGTATTTCCATTTTATTCTGCTTTATCCTTCCACTCTCCTGCATTAATTTAACATCTGTTACTTTGCAGATCAAGCTATTATAAACAAAACATATGATGATAAAATGAAATATAAAGATATACGCAGTATCAGTTCTTTTACCTTTGATACTTAAAGTTCATTCTACTGGTTGAACATACTTTAGTATTTAGTATTACTTAGGAAAATGAATGAAACCTTCCCCATTTGTTTTTACTACTACTGTAAAGCTAAATACAAATGATTCCCCAGAAGAAAAGCTCTTTTGATTTAATTTATGACTAAATACTTGTGACTCATTGTTAATGGGTAAAACATATATTGATTTTGATGACCCAGTGGTTTTGATAAACATCGATACCATGCACGATTGACCTTTATTGAGTAAAGATTCACCTTGTATTTTTGTACTGTATATCTTTTCTACAATAGATCATCTGACTATTTTACTATACACTAATAACTAACTAAAAAACTAAAACACAAACCAGTTTATCTTCGTTGAACCCTGTCATTGTCATTGCAATGTAAATATGGATAGTGTACAATAAATAAATGCAAATTTCCATCTGTTGACATGAAACGATATGAAAACGATCATTTCAAATGAATTAAAAGCCTGCACCTACTGTATATGACATACAAAAACGTAATGACAACATGACTGTATTTCAACCATTTTTTAAACATTAGTTTTAAAGTGGCTTGTTACATCTTTTTTTTAACAAGGGTGTTATTATTTTTTAACAATTGAGGCTAAAAACCAAGACAAAACCCAGTTATAATATGGGATGGGCACATCAAATTTGGGAAGTAAATTTGATTGTTGTAGTTATGTGTCATGAAAATGTTATGACATTATTGAAATCATTCTTTTTAACTATATGGCTCAAGTCAAAGCACAGTTCTGCAACAGTATCACAAATGGTATTGTCAGATGATTCTTTCANNNGGGGCACAGGTGGGTCCAACCTCTAACACTGGCCCCCTGCTGCCGCCCCCTAGAACCGCCCAATGCAATTTGTATAGCATTACATCCGTGTCTAATACGGTGATATTGGTATTTATTTAGGCGTTTTAATTTCAACAAAAGCACATTTTGCACTAATAGCAAGAGACAAGAGGGCAGCATTTGCCATTAAACTCTTTCATTTGAATAATCTGCTATACAGGACGTGATTAAAACCCCGGCTGCTCTGACGTAAGCGTTTAGGTGAGTCTCGCGCAGCCTGCACTGATTCCCTTCGTCTTCTTCCTCTCCTCTCGTGCCCCCCCCCCCTCCTCCCCCC